CCTTTCGCCGGAGCGACCTTTGGTGCGCGACTTTTTGGCCCTCGGGGGGCCCCCTCGTCGCCACGGTCGGACGCGGTTCGAAAAACGGGTCAGATTGGACCCCGGGAGGGGCCCGGGGGTCGATTTTGAGCGGATTTGCGCGCACCAAAGGTCACTCTTGCCAAAGGTCACTCTTACGTCCCCCCGAATAGGATCCAGAAGACACTCAGCGATGACGGGCCCACGGAAACGGCGCTGAAGATTGCTGCGCGGGAAGAAGTTAACGTTCATACGCCGTACGGCTCATTGATAGAAGAGATGTCCTTGCCAACAGATAGTGGTGACTTTACTTGGCGGTGTTGCAACCCACTTGCTTGGCTCTATTTCATCTGCGATCGGTACCCGTGGTTTTCCGAGCTGGTAAAGGCGAGTGCGCGAGGCGACAGATACACCATAGCCCTGTATACGGACGAAACGACCCCAGGTAACCCTTTGCATCCTGGGACGCCCACAGAAACTCAATGCATTTATTGGCAGGTGCTCGAATTGCCTAGTTGGGTTCGTACGAAAGAGACTGGGTGGAATTGTTTTGGCGTTTTGAAGACCTCCGACCAAATGAAAATCAAAGGTAGTCTATCGGGGATCATGCGCCACGTGTTGAAGCGAATGTTTCGGAATGACCACCATTGCTTCGAGAACGGAATGCTGCTGCCATGCCCGTCTGGGCGTTTCTTGTTTCGTGCCAAGCTAGCTTTTCTGGTGAAAGATGCTAAAGCTCACAAGCTTGTGTTTTCTAGCAAAGGGGCAGGAGGTTTCAACTGCTGTTGTCACTGTGCCAACATCATCAAAACAACAGGCACCACGCGCATCCCACCACACTCGCACGTGAAACACAAAAGATACGCGTTCCCTTCCGAATTTGTGAAACAAACGCCACACAATTTTTTCTTGCAGTTTGATGTGGTGCAGAGTCTTGCGAAAGATGTGTCAAAAACACAACTGGGAGACCTCCAGAAGGCTTATGGGATAAATTTCGACCCGCAGTCCCTGCCCGCCGACCATGCTCTCCGCGATGTTGCAAATCCAGTGCAGCATTTGTATTGGGACTGGATGCGTTGTGGGATAGCAGCAGGAGGGGTTTCTCAATACATGATCAATAGTTGTTGTTTGTATTTGAAGGCAGAGGGTGTCGACGCGCGCACGTTGGATGCATTTGCTATGGGCATCACATGGCCCCCGGGCCATACGAGACTTCCGCGCTCTTTCTTCCAGGACAGGACTTCGGATGATTGGAACAAGCCGATCAAAGCTTTTTCAGGCGAGACTTTGGCAGTTCTGCAGGCCCTGGAGTTGTACGTGGAGACAATACTGAGTCCTTCGGGGTCCCTTCCAGATCTCGGTCGCTGCGCGCTCGTCCACTGCAGAGTTATAAGGATCCTTAATTCGGGGCAGTTGGCGGTTCATCGCCTTGCAGAGCTGCGTGCGTTGTGGGGGGAATACCACCGGCTCCACCTTCAGTTGTTCGCCCACGACACCGCGAAGCCAAAGCTTCACTATATGTACCACGTGTTCGATTGCATCGAGAAGTTCGGTGTGCAGATAAATTGCATGGGCGCCGAACGCAAGCACAAATTGGTTAAAACCATTGCAAGGATGTGCCAGGGAGAAGCTTTTGATTTGAAGGTGCTTCATCGGTATTTGGCTGCACAACTTGCCCTTTATGACGCCGGCCCCTTCCAGGAATATTCTTCACCCACGGCCATGAGGGAATGCGACGACGCACTCTTAAGGGATGCTGTGTCCACCGTGTGCGGACACAGGGTGAACGACGTTTCAGTTTCAAAACACTTGACAACGCCGAGAGGTGATGTTGTGGCAGGGGTTGTCTGCTACTTCCGGTACGGCGCGCGCGTTTTTCTTGGCGAGGTGTTATTTTCGGCCAGAACGTTTTTGCTCTCTAGAGGCGTTCAGTGGTTTATCTGCGCGCGCCCGCATTCGTACCAGGGGCCGCAGCTGCGGGCACGAGGTGTGGATCAGTGTGTAATCTTTCCAGCGGGGGATTTGCTGTCAATGCCTCCGCACCTCGTTTTTGAAGACAGCATCCGCCCGCTGTCCTTGCTTGAAGGGCTCGCTGAGCTTCATTGAACAGAGTTTTGCTTGGAAAAACGAGCCCTCCTCCCCTGCAGCTCTGGGCTCGCCCGTGCTGTCCCCCCTCACCTCCTCCTGCCCCTCGGCTCTACCCCCTCTCCCCCCCTCCCCCCCCCCTCCTCCTGCCCCTCGGCTCTGGGCTCGCCCGTGCCGACCCCCTCTTCTCCTCCCCGGCCCTCCGTCGCCTCCCCGATTTCGGCTTCAGGGGTCAGTTTTCGGGCCCCGGGGCCGTCGCAAAAGAACCCATGATGACAAGTACTCTATCGGAGTTCCCCACATAAAGATGTTGTAGGCTGGGTGGGAGTACCGGGACACAACAGTAGTTAGACACTGAAGCATTGCGATGCCCTCCTCGCCCTGGCGGGGCCTCCCA